ACACACACACACTCACTCACTCACACACACACACACTCTCACTCCATTGAAATGGAGACACACACACACACACACACACACACACACACACACAGGATCTACAGAGACTCTTTACTCTCAATCTATCTTGAGTCCAGATATCTCACATGAAAAGGCTATCACGCTAATGATTTGATTAGCAATGACATTAATCACTGATGAATTAAAATGCCTCTTAGGAGACTAGGAGAAACACCACTGAATGATTCCTGCTGGTTTATATTCAAGGACCTGTATGACTTTCTGTCTTCCATGAAACACAGTAGGGTCCAAAAGTCTGAGAGCACTGAAAATGCTTCTAATTTGCAACCCTATTAAAAAAAACGGAATGTATATATATATATTTTTTTTCTTAGGCCACCTAAATTATACTGTCACAACCTTCCACATTCGGTCTGACAAAACAATAAATAAATAAGATAAAATAACAAAGTACTCCCAGATATTCCGATATCTATAAATATATCTGTAACCAATTTGAATGAAAATTAATTTTTTTGAATTTCAGAATTGTATTCTTAGGCTGCACAACATTTGGTCGGACAAAAATTAAATAAAAATAATAAAATAAAATACTCACAGATCTTCACTATTATATTAGCTTAAGCAATTGATGTTTTTAATTTCCATTTTGAAAAATTTTCCCCATTACAAAATATATTTTAAGCATAACAATTTGACTGAAAATTTAAATGCATACTTCCTGGCATTGAACAATATTTTTTTCCATCTTTCAAATAAACAAAAAGGATAAAAAAAATAACTCAATGCGGTTCTTGTCTTTTGTGAAGGATTTTCTGCTTCAGACTTCACTACAGTTGCCCACAGTCCACCTACTTACTGTTTGATGCAATACTACACAAAACCGGAAAGCATGTGTGCAAATCACAAGCTCTTGTGTTGCCGAATGCAACAAGTCAGGGTGCATTGGGTGCGTTTATATCAGTTTACTGGAAAACAAAATCATGTTTCTGCAGATTCTATAGATTTCCACCCAAAAACTATACACGGAAAAACGTCTATCTGGACCTAAAAATCCCTGAGGAACAAAAAAATCTAAAACAAATTTGTCCTGTATAAAGGACATTTGGATCGGGAGGATACACAGCAAGCTACAACATCTGTCGTTCTCTTGTGACACCGCATGAACGTTGTGGAAACATGATCATAAATTCCATTAGAAACTTGGTAATAGATTTCTTTCTGTTCTGCTGGACGCGATCCACACAAACTCAGCAAACTGCCCTAAAAGCCTCACTGGATCTCAGATCCGTCTTTGAAGGGAAATCCCTGGATGTCGACAGGCAAGGGAGGCACATGCAATCTCAACGAAAGAGATTGAAATGGAGACAGAAATGTTCTCCAAGCGGCCTGAAGGCACAGCGCTCTCAGATTCACGATTGAATCGTTCTGGGTGCGAAACAAGTTAAGCTCTATTGACAGATGCGGTGACGTGCTGTTGATCACCACACGTCATTTCAACCTGTGCCTCAGTTTGGAAAAACAAGCAGAAATCACGATCAGCTGACACTAATGCACAGTTATTTACATGAGTACAATATAATACTGGATAGCCAAAGTATTGGAAATGTTAACTAAAACTACTACAAATCATGTTTAACTGAAATAATTAAAATTGTTATAGCAATTAAAATAAAGCTAAAAACAAATATAAAAACCTTAACTTAAATGAAAATTACATAATGCTGTCTTGGCAATTATTTCAAATAAATAAGTTGAAGTTCTAAAAAAATTAAAAAAAAAAAAAAAAAAAAAAAATTACAGCTAAGAAAAAAAAAACAATTAAAAAAATAATAACAAAGTATAAATTATAATTATAAATTATAAATAAATATAATACAATTACTAATAACTAAATTAAAATAAAACAAAAAAATATAATAATAAAAGCTACTTCAAAATACTAATAAATAATATTATATATACAGTATATATATAAACTTAAAAAACATAAAATAAAAATTAGCAGCTAATTCAAATAAATAAGTTTAAGATGAAGTACTAAAATTACTAAGACTAACATTGACACTAAAATAAATGACAGCTAAGGAAAAAACAACAATAATAAAAAAACTAACAAAATTACTAAAACAAAATGAAAACTGAACATATAAGCATAAATGATAGCCAAATATATTACAAATAACTTTCGGTAATTCAAATAAAGCTAAAGTCAAATCAAATAAATAAATTGAAGTACTACAATAAAAATAAATGAAAATTAAATATAAATATTTATAAATACAGTACATCTAAAAAAACTAAAATTATAAAAGCGCATGATAAACTTGAAATAAAACCAAAACTTAATTTAAAAATAAAAGCTAATTTAAAATATTAATAAATACTATAATGCTATAAATAATACTAAAGTAGCAGTATCAATAATAATGGGAGAAAAGTCAATCTGGGTCTGTCAAATGAATAAATGTAAGTATAAAACACAAAATAAAATGCACTGGCGAGCTTAAAAGCAGACATGTGATGTTTGTATGAATTATTTCATAAATAATGTGTCTTATTTGTGCTGTAAAGTTGTCTAAATCATTCTATTGAAACTTCTAGTTATGCATAACAGTATAATTCCTGCATTGAAATTCCTCCATCTAAACAGTACTTTGCATATAGTCATATTAACATCACTTTCTGGTATCAATGTGAAAGTAGGCTTGCTGCGATAGACGGTGTTTTTGGTTATACCGTTGTTAAGCCGCAACACCGGTTACATCATTTGCCTACCGCGGCACCGCCCCCCACCGTCGGATAGATTTTTTTATAGTAACAAAAATAATTTAGCCTAGTTCAGTTAGAGGACAGACACTTTTAAAAACTAAACGCTCAATGCAGCGTGCCGAACCGTGCGCGAACGACAGGAGACAGATTTTATTTATCACGTGAGGAGAGTGAGTCGAGCTGACTGACAAGAGTGAGGTGAGAAAGACAAGACGATGCAGAAGACTGTTTAGAAAGGAAATCCAAAAGCGCCTGTTTGGCAATATTTTAGATTTTGAAAAGCCTATTGACGAAGTTTTTTTAAACATTCCTTTCTTATTTATTTGGTTTCACAGTGTTTGCTGATTACTTTATTTAAACTTTGTGTATTTAATTTTATTTTACATCAAGGTGTATTTGCCGTGCCTCCAAGCTTTCTTATTCGTTTTGCTAATAAACGTTCTATGTTTCTTATTTATTTGGTTCCACAGTGTTTGCTGATTTTTATATACCTATTTAAACTTTGTGTAGCCCAAGTAATTTGTTATTTTATTAGGCATAGGCCTATATGGTGTATTTTTATTTGTTTTGTTAATAAAAGTTCTGAGTTTGAAGTTGTTGTTGCTTGAATTGAATCAACGCTGAATTGCCCCTAATTTGAAAGTGAAAGTAAAACGCGCATAGCGCTTTTTCAAGCTATTTGAAAGCCAAGAAAAGAGGGAAACTCAAACGAACTAACCCCCCACCCCAACGGTGAGACCGGTATTACCGGTGTTGTCACTCGTCGATTAACCGTCGTAAATTAAAATTTCCTCACCGTCACAACCCTATGTGAAAGCTAACAGTTAACCAGCTTTAAATGACCGTGATGGGAGTTTAAAGACTAGATATTGAGAAAGCATTTACTGTATCCTCTGAATCTGAATTCAGTTTGAATTGAGGCAGCAAACAGACTTTGACCTTTGTTGTCACACTAAGGGAGGCTGTCTGACAGCAAATCAAACTCATCAGATCAGTCCGGGCCTCTCGGTACCTTCTCATCATAGACGATGCCGGGCCGGATCTCGGGAGCCTGGTAGCCGGGTGTGCCCTCGACCCCCAGCGCTCCCTCGTGGAAGGACTGGCGCGAGATGCCGTAGTCGGACAGCTTGACGTTGACCGAGTCCTCCAGCTCCAGAGACCACACCAGGATGTTGTCGGACTTGAGGTCACAGAAGATGATGTTCTTCTTGTGCAGATACGCCAGGCCTGTGACGATCTGATAGGCCACTTTGAAGGTGAGCATGTGACCCAGCGGCACGTACTGAGAACCTGAGGAGCATCAGGCAATGAGGACAGATGCAAACTTCAGTCACACAAACCCATTATGATAACAGATTTCTTAATTTTTTTTGCAAACTATTAAGGCTTTGTTCACTAGTCTGATGCAATTAAAAGTCCAAATTTTCATGCCAAAAAAATTGCTATTCTCTGAAAAAGTTATAAGTGATGCAGATCTAAAGAATAGCAGATTATTAAATTATTTGCTGAATTAATTCACAAGGTTTTCACACACTGTTGCTGGTATTTTGGCCCATTCCTCCATGCAGATCTCCTCTAGAGCAGTAATGTTTTGGGGCTGTCGCTGGGCAACATGGATTTTCAACTCCCTCCAAAGATTTTCTATGGGGCTGAGATCTGGAGGCTGGCTAGGCCACTCCAGGACCTTGAAATGCTTCTTACGAAGCCCCTCCTTCGTTGCCCGGGCGGTGTGTTTTGGATCATTGTCATGCTGAAAGACCCAGCCATGTTTCATCTTCAATGCCCTTGCTGATGGAAGGAGGTTTTCACTCAAAATCTCATGATACATGGCCCCATTCATTCTTTCGTTTACACGGATCAGTCGTTCTGGTCCCTTTGCAGAAAAACAGCCCCAAAGCATGATGTTTCCACCCCCATGCTTCACAGTAGGTATGGTGTTCTTTGGATGCAACTCAGCATTCTTTCTCCTCAAGTTGAGTTTTTACCAAAAAGTTCTATTTTGGTTTCATCTGACCATATGACATTCTCCCAATCCTCTTCTGGATCATCCAAATGCTCTCTAGCAAACTTCAGACGGGCCTGGACATGTACTGGCTTAAGCAGGGGGACACGTCTGTCACTGCAGGATTTGAGTCCCTGGCGGTGCAGTGTGTTACTGATGGTAGCCTTTGTTACTTTGGTCCCAGCTCTCTGCAGGTCATTCACTAGGTCCCTCCGTGTGGTTCTGGGATTTTTGCTCACAGTTCTTGTGATCATTTTGACCCCACGGGGTGAGATCTTGCGTGGAGCCCCAGATCGAGGGAGATTATCAGTGGTCTTGTATGTCTTCTATTTTCTAATAATTGCTCCCACAGTTGATTTCTTCACACCAAGCTGCTTATCTATTGCAGATTCAGTCTTCCCAGCCTGGTGCAGGTTTACAATTTTGTTTCTGGTGTCCTTTGATAGCTCTTTGGTCTTGGCCATGGTGGGGTTTGGAGTGTGACTGTTTGAGGTTGTGGACAGGTGTCTTTTATACTGATAATGAGTTCAAACAGATGCCATTAATACAGGTAACGAGTGGAGGACAGAGGAGCCTCTTAAAGAAGAAGTTACAGGTCTGTGAGAGCCAGAAATCTTGCTTGTTTGTAGGTGACCAAATACTTATTTTACCGAGGAATTTACCAATTAATTCTTTAAAAATCCTACAATGTGATTTTCTGGATTTTTTTTCTCATTTTGTCTCTCATAGTTGAGGTATACCTATGATGAAAATTACAGGCCTCTCTCATCTTTTTAAGTGGGAGAACTTGCACAATTGGTGGCTGACTAAATACTTTTTTGCCCCACTGTATATATATATATATAATTACAAATTTTACATATATAAATATAAATCTAAATGATTATAGAATTTTGCACTGCTTAAACATTCACAAATGTTCAGAAGTGGCATTTATTTTACAATTAAATGTTATTAATATTATGAGTACCATTACATTTTATAGATTTTTATTTGCTTTATTATTTTTTATTTGCTTTATTATTTAAAAATAATTATAAATTATTTTTAAATGTATTTATTATATTTACATTTTTTATTTATTTGTTGTCAAAAGGAAAATATGCATTGTATGAAATCTTACATAGTTTATATAGTTTTTTTAAACTTCTTTATTAGCTAAATGAAATGAATACATGTAAAAAATTTATAAAATGTAAATGTATACATATATAATAAAAAAAAGTATATATTATATATATATATATATAATCTAAATGATTATAGAATTTTGGACTGCTTAAACATTCATAAATGTTCAGAAGTGGCATTTATTTTACAATTAAATGTTATTAATATTATGAGAACTATTACATTTTATAGATATTTATTCTTTTTTATTTGCTAAATGAACACATGAACAAATTAATTTATTTTTACATTTATTTATTATATTTACATTTTTTATTTATTTGTTGTCAAAAGGAAAATATGCATTGTATTAAATCTTACATAGTTTATATAGTTTTTTTTACTTCTTTATTAGTTAAATGAAATGAATACATGTAAAAATGTATAAAATGTAAATGTATACACATGTATTTATTGTATATATTTATATTATTTATTTTTTGATGCCATATTTATGATATTTATTATATTTATTTATTGCCAAATGAATAAACGCAAAGAAAAGAAAAAAAAATAAAAAAATAAAAAAAATTATATATATTTAATTATATTATATATTTTTGTAATCCATACATACATACATACATAAAAGCCATCAAAAATGTATTATAATATAAATGTATAAAATAAATACATGTATATATATATATATAATGAATATATATTTATATATACATACACTGTATTTTAATAATAAAACATAGGCCAAAGTTTTTTCTTAAAATCTTTAATATTCGTAAGTAATATTTTACTTTCAAATAAAAATGTATATATAATAAATAATACTATATTGTTGCATGATCATTATTGCTGATCTTTATATGTTTGGCGATGTTTTATGCAAACACAGACAAAGACAGGCTAATTCCTGTGCTTATGTCCATGCGTCACACCTTTGGCTCGCTCCTCCAGGATGGTGTTGAGGCTGCCCAGCGGCGCCAGCTGCAGGGCGAAGCAGAGCGGGTGGATGCTGATGCCCACCAGAGCCACGATACACGGGTGCTGCAGGGAGTGGAGCATGCTGGCCTCCTGACGAAACTCCGAGAAGCTGCGGGCCGCGTCCATCGACTGCAGGTGCTTCATCATGGTGTCTGTGTAGAGAGCAGTTCAACACGCTGTTATTCAGCTGCAGGCCTGAAGAGAGCAGCTCCGACTCTCACCTCAGGTCATGGAATAATTATCCATAATGAGAGCAAACACCATCACATTCATACGCTCACATCAGCATGCGAATCCACCTCAGTCTCTGTATTGGAAAATTACTGTTTCTCTGTGATAACGCATAACATGATGGCATCAGATGTTAATTCCACCCTACATTGATTCCATGGAACCATATACAGTAAATGTACTATGGTATTTACATAACTGCTTTGAATGACAAAACAAGTGATAGAACTTATTTTTACATGAATTCATTGAGCAAACAAACAAACAAACAATCATAACATAACATACACATTTTATTATATTATTTATGAATACATGTAAAAAAAGAAATATATATATATATTGTATATATATGTGTGTGTGCGTTTTCCCAAATGGACTTTATTAAACATTCATTTTAATGAAATATTGTATATACTATACAAATATACATATTTCATTATATTTTATTTGCTAAATGAATAAATGTTTTACATATATAATCCTACTTATTTCAGGATGTTTATTTATTTGCTAAATGAATAATTGTAAAAATGAATAAATGTACATTTCTTATTTTACTTTTTTTTGTTGTCGTTGCCAAAACTAACATATGTAGTTCATTAAATGTTATGTTATTTCTTTCATGAAATACTTGAATTTATTTCATGAAATGTTATATACATTTTATTTTTTACTTTATTTGCTAAATGAACACATGTAAAAATAAAAAGTACATTATTTATTTATTTGTGGCAAAAATGAACATGTAGTTCATTACATTTTTTATTTTTGTTTCATGAAATATGTGAATATATACAGTATTTCATGAAATTCTAAATATATATATATATATATATATATATATATTATTACTTTATTTGCTAAATGAGTACATGTGAAACATGAATATGTAAATGTATTTTTATACATGTTTATTTTTATTTATTTGTTGCCATCTAGGTACGTTTGTATTTCATTATATTTCATGAAACACATATTTCAGTATATTTATTTATTTGCTAAAAAAAAGTAAAAAAAAAAAAAAAAAAAGAAAAAATGTACATTTTGTTTGCTACTGTACTGTATTTACAATAATAATAATAATAATATAAAAGGCCAGAGGATTTTCTTGTATATTGATTGCTTTCTCTGGATGTGTCCGGCAGCTCAAACTGTGAGGTTAAAAGAGCAGCTGTCAAGGTTCAGCTTTTACGTAACACAGACTGACCTCTCTCATTAAGAGCTAAAATAAAAAGTCCAGTCCAGTCTGAGACCTCAAAGAGGAAACTCGTAACTGTTCCCTGACCTGAAAATAAATGTTCTGATTTATAGCTGCAGGGTTTGTACTGGCTCTGGTTACTGGCATGTACTTACAGAGCTGGTCTGGGGTTAAACTCCTAATGAGTCCGACTGCAGATCGTATCCCGCTGCGTCACACATCGCACTAAAAACTTGTTTAATGCCACGACAGTAGCTTGAAATAATACGCAAGGAGTCTGAATGCTGCTGAAAGGAGTTGAACATGCTTTTGGGGATCCAGGACGCTATACAGACATGATTTATGATCCGTTGGCTGACGGACCACCAGGCTTTGGTGATTTCCGCTCAAACTCAACAACCGACTCCTGAGAACCGAGGTCTGCTACTTCAGGCCAGTTTGCACCGACAGCGTTTCCTAGTCACATAAATCATGATCTATACTAACGTCAGTGTGTTTGGGTTTTTTTTAGGCCAAGGTGTTTTATGACGTCTTCACTGTATCGTCTCCTGCTCCAAAACAAACGGCAGAAACATGAACTGAAATCAAATCTGCAATGAAAATCCTCTTACATGTAATGCTTCTTCCTAACAGACTTCGTAGTTCAGAGAAATGTAATGTTAATCTTCTTTTATAAAGTGGATATATCCGACTCTGAAATCTGAAGGTTAAATAGCAAGTCTACATAAAGTAAAATATCACCTTTAGACTAATGGACCATATTAATTGGTATTATTCTTTAATTGGTAAAATGTGTGATTAGTATTAATAATAAATGCTATTACTTATTAAAATTGTTGCTTTTAAATCATATTCATGTCATATTCCAATGCATGACTTTGAGGCGTATTGCTTTGTTGACATGTTTTGCATTTAAATCAATACAATGGCCTTGATGCCATAATTATATTTGCACAATGAATTGTGATTTTAAATATTTTTCTTGCTTTTCTTGCTAATATCTAATGATCCATCTACTGTATACTGAAACATCTTATCAGTCTCTATCTGTATCTATATCTGGGTTTACAACTTTTCTTGTTGACTGAAAAAATAAAATAATATAAAAAATTAGATTGAAAATTTGTTTTCGGTGGAAACCAAAAATTAAAGCCATTTAATATCTTAACAAACGCACCTTTAACATATTGAAAATTATATTTGTAAATATTTTTTATCGCAATTAAGATTTTCTTTCTAATATCTAATTATCCATCTACTGTATATTACAAATATTATCAGTCTCTCTCTGCATCTATATCTGGGTTTACAACTTCAAACTTTTTAAAATCTTCGTCGTCAACTGAAATAGAATAAAATAAAATATAAAAATTAGATGGAAAAAAAACGAATCTAAAATCTAAAAAAATACTGAATTACTGAAATAAATTAAGATTAAGTTGAAGTACTAAAAACTGCTAAATAAAAGCTAAATAAAAAAGAAAAGAAAACAAAATCACAAAAGCACATAAAATTACTAAAACTTTAAAATGAAAACTGAAAGTATAAAAATTATTCAATAGTTCATTTTAAATATAAAAATTACATCTCAGATATATTTCATTATATTTATTTATTTGCTAAATCAATTTTATATATTTTAATTGTATTTATCTGCTGCCAAAAGGTCAAAAATATTGACTAGTTTCATTTATTTATTTAATAAATGTTCTTACAGTACTGTACTTATAATAAAATAAACAGGCCAGAGGTTTTTTCTTTTCTTGTATACTGATTGTTTGTATTTTTCCACAAGAGCAGATGAGGATTCTAGAAGCTTCCAAAGGGCAGATGCCAGCCGCTGTTGCCGTTGGTTACCATAGGGCACCACTTTACAGACCATAAACCTCCAGTGCATGAATGCACTCGACAAAACACAGCAAACCTTGAACAAGAAATGTCTGGAATTCATGAGGAAGATAAACTTTGTGTCATAAAAGTTAATGTCTTGATTTAGTAGCCGTCTTCATAGCAAAGAAACCTCTCGAATGAGCGGGAGGGAATAAATCTGCTGAGAGACCAATTCAAACAGCAGTGAACGCGGACGACGGAGAAACAGTCAACATCAAACGCTGCTGACGGAGAGAAACCTGCAAACCAAGCAGACTCTCACTCGCAGTGTGAGTTATGACCAACTGCGCATCAGAAAGAGTTGGGAGACGTTTGTCAGGATCAGGGAAGCGGACGGAGCGGCAGACAGAAGAGGTGCGAGGCCTTCAGGGTCAGAGAAAGGCAGAAACTAGCAGAGTGTGACGCATCTAAAGGGAAAATCATAACGATGGGATGTGCGGCTGTAAAACCACAGCTTATAAAGTCTGACAACCTTTCATAGCACTCAAAATGTACATTAACCTCCCCATTCTGCAGTGTTGCCAAGTCCGTGGTTTTCCTGTGGAATTGGGCTACTTTAAAGAGGTCCTATTATGCTTTTTCACTTTTTCAACTTTATAAATATCTGCGAAGTTACAAAGCTCAAAGTCCAATTCAAAAGGAG